GTTCGAAACAGCCACATGATGTGATTCTGTACGTTCTGTCCTTTAGGTTGATAGATGCAAAACTGTCCACTCCCCTTTAAACGTGATTTGAGGCCGAAAATATGTTTTTCCGGAAGCTTTGTATATATATCCCTGATGATGCAAAGGGGTATCTCCACTAAAATATGGCACAATTTGATTATGCTATCGTGAGGACGAGGAGAGAGAGAGAGAGAGAGAGAGAGACGGTGTGAGGGGGAGACAGAAAGAGAGATAGAGTGGGAGGGAGAAGGAGAGAGAGAGAGGGAGAGGGAGAGAGGAGAATTTTTGAGTAGGAGCATGTGTTCCGATGCTATACAAAAAAACAGAAGCCAAAATGAACCCTATTCATCACGGGGCATTTTTACATATTTACATTGCATCCAAGCTCGGGTACGTTGTTCTTAGCAAATGGTAATAAGCTAAAGAGCGGCATTTAGCAAGCATCAATCACTTAAATCGCCTAGGTCTAGACAGCCACGCGGAGCTTCAAGATCGCAGCTGAATTGTTAGCGTAACGGTGACTACTATAGTGACCATCAGAACGATATTGGCCAGTGTTTTCGACTCTAGCGTAGTCATCTAGACCTAGTCGGTGCAAAGGGTCGACTCTTTCGCTTCCCAAGCCCTTTAAAGGTACCGGCAAGGGAAGGAAATGGATGGGGCTAGCTATCGGAGAATTTTTTTAGTCGTCACGAGGTTTCGAAATTGGACTAAGCCGAGAATTTTGTGCAGAATTTTCGGCTGATTCAAACCTCGTTTTCAGAATCTGCGAAACTACCCCAATAAGAAAATTGTGACGGCGCAAAACGGCGAAAGTTAGCCATTTTTGCATTTTTCACATTTTATCTCTTCGTAACGTTTCAAAGATGGTCGTTTCGCAAATTCTGTAAACGAGAACTTAATCAGCGAACAATTCTGAACCAAACAGGCTTGGTCCCATTTCGAAATTATCTCCAAAAATTCCAGAGTCATGCCTTGCTGGTCCCTTTAAAAAGCATAAACTATTCGAAGACATTTTTATTCAAAAAAATAAATGTAGGTAAACCAAGGGCCGAATCCCAGCTTCCCGTGCAGAGAACGTTTTCGGAATGCCCGGGGGGTGCCCTTTTCGAGAGGAATAATGCGGATCGCTTCGGGGCACGCCGAGCCGAGCACGGCTTTCTTGGCCCCTGGCTTTGCCCTTCAGCAAATGGGGCTCATTATAATTCGGACACGGAGAGGGGAGGAGGAGCCCTTTTTGGCCTTGAGATGAGGGAGAAAATGGATGGCGGATTCTGGAATTGAGCTGGGGTCGAAGGGGGAGCAGAATTGTGTGGAAAAAAAGCGTGGTTTGATTGGTATTTTGGTGTAAGGGGGTTGGAGGGAGAGAGAGAGAGAGAGAGAGAGAGAGAGAGAGAGAGAGAGAGAGAGAGAGAGAGAAAGAGTGAGAGAAAGAGAGGGTGAGAGAGAGGGTGAGAGAGAGAAAGTCACATAGAGAGAAGACTCCGACTTGTAAACTCGACTCGGCCTACGCTTATGCCTAAGCCCAAGCTTAGGACTGAGCACGAGTGTGAGTCTGACCCTTCGCTTGGCATAAAGCAAGCTTAAAAGACGAATTTTAACGCTAAGCCGAAATCTAAGCCTGAGCCTAACCCATGCTTAAGCGAAAGTTTAATCCGAAACCGAATCGAAGTAGAAGCCTAATCCTAAGCCCAAGTCTAACCAAGCCAACGCCCAGTGCTAAGTACAAGCCTACGCTTGACTTAAGCCCATGAAGCACAACCCATTGAAGAATTTTTCAGACATTTGCCCTCCAATTCTGGAGTGTTTACAAGGACGTCCAAATAAACCCCTCAGTTTTGGCATGTTGCCTCGAGGCTTTGCGAGGGTAGTAAGAATAGACGTAGCGGGGCCACAGTGGTGGGCCAAATATTCGGGGAGGCCGCTTCTTTTTCTAGTGCCCTTCCTTTAGGGCCCTTCTTCCCAGAGCTCACGAGGGGCCCTAAGAAGGGCCCCGGGGGGCGCCGCTAAGCTAATTCAAATTGGGGCAACTAATTGAGAAAGACGCCTACGGCTTTTGCGTCCTTTTTTGTAGTGGGGGCTTTGTTTCTCTCGGTCTTTTGCTCTCTCGCCGGGAGACAAATCCTTGGCAGCGCCTTGCAACAACGCAAAAAGTGTGTAGCCGGGGATGTTCAAGGGTAAAGCGTGAGAGAGAGAGAAAAAGGGAGAGAGAACGAGAGAAAGAGAGTGCGAGAGAGAAAGAGAGAGAGAGACAGCGAGAGGGAGGGAGAGCGAGGGAGAGTGAGTGAGAGCAAGCGAGAGAGAGAGATAGAGAGAGAGAAGGAGAGACAGAGAGAGAGAGAGAGAGAGAGGGAGAGGCAGAGACAGACAGAGAGAGAGCGAGCCAGCGATGATTCTCTGGGCAATTTTTATATTTAAAAAGACCAGAATGATCAAATTCTTATTGAGGATCACAAAAATAGCTTCAGAATTTTGCAATTCAAGCGTTTTCACGACGAAACAGGGGCCAAAGATCATGTGGCTGGTCGCGTCACGGTCGCTTCTGGCTATTTGCCAGGAAGAACGCAAGTCCTTTCAAATGGCGCTCAAAACAGAATGCCATCTCTGCCCGGCTATTCGGCAAAAAAATAGGGATATTTCAATTCAGACAAAAGATCTTTACTGTTTTTTCCTATTTTCTGAGAAAATAGAAGCCGAGTTGGTGTGATGGGTGGGCAAAGAAAAGCCCTGATGAGCCCCCCTTCATTACGCGACGATTCACACAACAGCTCCGGAAAATCAAACGCGAAATTCCCCCCTTTTTGAATTCGTAATTTGGTGGTGCGGGGAAATTGTTTACCGGAAACGGGCAAGGGGTAAAGAGGTACGATACCTTAAAGAGATAGCTAGGACAAGAGAGAGAGGGAGAGAGAGAGTGAGAGAGAGAGAGAGAGAGAGAGAGCGGGAGAGATTGAGAAAGGAGAGTGAGAAAGCGAGATAGTGAGAAAGCGAGAAAGAGCGAGAGAGAGAGAGAGAGAAAGCGGGAGAGAGAGAAAGAGAGCGGGAGAGAGAGCGGAAGAGAGAAAGAGAGCGAGAGAGAGAGAGCGGAAGAGAGAGAGCGCGAAAAGAGAGAGAGCGCGAAAAGAGAGAGAGAGAGAGAGAGAGAGAGAGAGAGAGAGAGCGGGAGCGAGAGAGTGAGAAAGCGAGAGAGTGAGAAAGCGAGAGATTGAGAAAGCGAGAGAGTGAGAAAGCGAGAGAGTGAGGGAAAACGAGAACGAGAGAGAATATAAACATTTTAATGAACCGACGGCGATGAGGAACGGCTCCTTTTCCTGCTTCTCAAGTTTTGTTCCCGTCCTTCAACAGATGGGCCCTCGAAGCCGTGGCCTTTTTGAAAGAATAATCCCTGCAATTCCTCATTTTCTACCCCGAAGAACCCGGGACGTCAGTCAACAAGCCGCTGTGTTTGGCAGCAAAAAAAAGTGGTAGAAGCGCGGAGCATCACCAAAAATCCTTAAAAATTTAGGTCTTAACACCTAAAGAACGTCCTTTTCGTTTCGAGTTTTTGTCGAGGTCTAGTGATGGAAGGGGTCGATTTTAGCGTTTCCCGGTCTCTTTAGGAAACGAAAAATAGCCGTGGACTTTGTTGAATTGTAAAATAGTCGCCTAGGTATGCGAGGCACAATCCAAAAATCCCCCTGGGGCCCCAAAAAATCCAGAGATTTGGGCACTGATATGGCGGTGAGCCCTGGGCTGGGCCCTGGTGGTCGTCCGCCAAAATAAATGGCTCTGAAACCTGACTAGGGAAGTGCAAATAAAAAACCCAGCAAACCGCTTAGCAAAAATATGGGTCTGATAGAGTCGGCGACGGGGATTCCGAAACTGCAATCAGAATTTGCTAAACGCTTAATACAAAATAGTTATGAGCATTTTAAGTTTTGCACTAGATTCTCCGCCCTCCCTTATGAGCCCCTCCCGAAGATGGGTGTCCGCCTGTCGAGTGGTGTAGTGGCTAACTAGCATGCCTCTGGGCGGAGGGTCTCTGGTCGACTCTCCGGTCATGCAGAACTTTTGCTTTTGGTCAAAGTCAACAACTTTAGACTTTTTCAAAGTTTCGAAGTCAAAAAGGTCGTTCTCTTAATTTTTAAATTTATGAAACTGATTGCAAAGTGGTGGCGGGAGTGTCAGTACTCTTGCGGATAGGGCACAAAAAAAATTCACTTCTAGTTTTTCGTAAGGTAGGCCTAGACGCAGTCAATAATAAAGAAAATTTTAAAAAATCTAAATTACGGACTTCGAAACTTTCAAAAAGTCTGAAGTTGTTGACTTTGACCAAAAAGCAAAAAGTTTTGCATGACCGGGGAGTCGAACCAGAGACCCTCCGACCCAGAGGCATGCTAGTTAGCCACTACACCACTCGACAGGCGGACACCCATCTTCGGGAGGGGCTCATAAGGGAGGGCGGCGAATCTAGTGCAAAACTTAAAATGCTCATAACTATTTTGTATTAAGCGTTTAGCAAATTCTGATTGCAGTTTCGGAATCCCCGTCGCCGACTCTATCAGACCCATATTTTTGCTAAGCGGTTTGCTGGGTTTTTTATTTGCACTTCCCTAGTGAGATAGACAGCAGATTTTGGGGCACTCGTTCAACTGCACCCACTGTCTGTCTCTCTCTCTCTCTCTCTCTCTCTCTCTCTCTCTCTCTCTCTCTCTCTCTCTCTTTGTCCTCTCTCCCAACCTATCTCTCTCTCTCTCTCTCTCTCTCTCTCTCTCTCTCTCTTCCTCTCTCCCAACCCTATCTCTCTCTCGCTCTCTCTCTCTCTCTCTCTCTCTCTCTCCTCTCTGCTCCGACTATGTCTCTCAATTTTTTCTTTCTCTCGCTCTTTTGCTCACTCCCTCTCTCCTGTCTCTCTATCCATAAAATCAATTTCAGGGCGAGATAGTCTAACGATGTTTATTCGCGAAAGAATGCGTGTTGGACACGCCCTGACTTTGTCAATTGTCAAAAATGTATATCAGCAACTGGGCGTGAAGGCGGATTCCATCGGACGGTTGCCATACGGAGGCAACGTGGAACGCTAAAAGAGTTAATACTTCTAAGCAGCATTTATGGATTGAATTCTTCCTTCTTTTCCGAACCCACATTTTCCATATACACATATTTGGAAGAATTGCAGTGCCGTTGGTCGCTGGGAGTCCTGAAAGTGGATGGCGAAATTGGATATGTTCGCGCGCGCAGAATACCTGTCGTAACCGGTTTCTACGGCGTTCGTTTTATCGACCCCGATGAGTTTTCGGCCCCATTCCCCCCTCATTTAAAAGGCCGTTTGCGTGAGGACCGAACAATGCTTGGCACAGTTTTTTCGACCCTGTTTTTGGCGGCATCGGAAGAGCAGAGTCAAATAGATAGTAAGGTACTGCAATGTTTGAAAGTTTAAAAAGTTAAGTTTTAGGGTTAAAATTGGAGTCAAAGTTGCCGACCCCTAAAAATTATCTCGAAAGTTACTGTACCAAATTGGTCGAAAGTTTGTCACAGTACCTAATTTTGGATGCTGATCATTTCTCTATACATCGAAAAGCACGAAATGATGAACATGTTAAATCGCGCACCAAAACAGTTTTTCAGGGTTTTGTATTTTACGGGTTCTTGGCGGTCCGTTGTAAATAACTTTAGATGCGCAAAAAATTCTACATCAAATGAGGTATTTATACCGGGCCGACAGAAACCCTATTCTTGCTATAAAGTATTTACTGCGCGCAAAACAACCCCCAAAATAGGTCAAAAACCTCAAAAATGACCAATTTTGAAATCGAATATATCAAACCATATCTAGAGAACGAGCTGAGTCGATTGCAAAATACAGCAAAAAGAAATATTGCTTTTCAAGGGGCGCGGGGATCGAACTGGCGCGGCTCTTGGATTGGTAGGCGTGCACTCATGCAATCCACCACGGCCCCAGGGAGGGCTTCCAGGCGAAGAGTCCGGGTTCGATTCCTCCCCGGATCTCAGCCTATATTCAGAAGCCGAATTTCTTTTTGCTCTATTTTGCAATCGACTCAGCTCGTTCTCTAGATATGGTTTGATATATTCGATTTCAAAATTGGTCATTTTTGAGGTTTTTGACCCATTTTGGGGGCTGTTTTGCGCGCAGTAAATACTTTATAGCAAGAATAGGGTTTCTGTCGGCCCGGTATAAAATACCTCATTTGATGTAGAATTTTTTTGCGCATCTTTTAAGGTTATTTACAACGGACCGCTAAGAACCCGTAAAATACAAAACCCTGAAAAACTGTTTTGGGTGCGCGATTTAACCATGTTCCGCTCATTTTCGTGCTTTTCGATGTATTAGAGAAATGATCAGCATCCAAAATTAGGTACTGTGACAAACTTTCGACCAATTTGGTTCAGTAACTTTCGCGATAATTTTTGGGGGTTGGCAACTTTGACTCCAATTTTAACCCTAAAACTTAACTTTTTAAACTTTCAAAACTGTGCAGCCTTACTAATTTGACTATGCTCTTTCCGATGCCGCCAAAAAAACAGGGTCGAAAAAACTGTGCCAAGGCATATTGGGGTCTGTTCGGGTGGCTCGCGGATGGCCTTTTAAAGGGCCCGGAATCAAAAAAAGCCCGCCATGACTGATCTAATTTTGTTACTAAACTGGAGCGGGACTTCCCAAAAGCTAGCACCAAATGGATTCTTTGCGAAAAACATCGGTTTTGCGGGCAAATCTTCTTTTTGCGTGTTTGAGAATCATACAAGGTGCCACAAAAACGCCCCCTCCGGCATTTCGCCGTATTACATCTCGGTCCCATACTTTGCCCAAGGGTGTATTAGGCCCTAAATAGCCGCAATCCGGAGTTGTAGCCCGATCGCTACAGTAGTTGTCGACTTATCGCCAAAATACTATTTTTTTACGCGATTCTTAGCAGTTTTTCGGCTCTTTTTGGACTTTGCATCGATTTGCATCGACTTCCGGCTGTGAATCCCTAATTTCGCTTTATATCGGGTGAGTTACAAAAATTGTTGAAATCAACGGGTTTTTTGATGACTTTTTATCAGTAAAAAAATTCTAAGGGTAGAAAACGCTTGCCGCTTCATTTTCACTGAATATTAGAAGGGTCGATTCCAACGAAAACCTTATGAAAAACGGATAATAAAGTTTATTTTTGTTGTATATCGAAAACTACCATATTTATGACGCTATACGTTAGGATTGTGGTTATTTAGGGTATGATACACCACTGGTCTAATTTTGGAACCGATCGGATGTAATATGGCAAAATGCGGGAGGGGATTGTTTAATATTCGATACCTCGAGGGCATTATCGACCCATTCCTTCATTCTTTCCGCCTCGATCCCATCCACACGTTCCATGAACCCATTGTGGTTGCGTTGAAGCCTCCTCGCGAGGTGCTCCTGGAAAACGATAACCCAGTTGCGGCCCATCGTCGTTCAGAAAGTTTGGATCGTCTGCTGAACTTCAAAAGCCCTACCAAGCATTTTTCGGGCCTGATGACCTGGTGATGCTCATCGTCTTCAGCATTATCAAAATCCCAGAAGCGGACGGCTTCAATGAGGTGCACCACACCCCGTTGCGGAACTCTTGCCGGACAGATGACTATCTGAATGAAAATTGATGATTGTCGTGGAAGGTTGTTTTTAGCAAAATTTAGGCCGATTTGATTAGAAAAGAAAACTTTTTTTTAAGTTAGAAAAACGCTTGAAAAACTCGAAAATTTTGTCATTTTTGGGTCGAAAAAATTGATTTTCCGACCTAAAATTAAATTTTTTTAATTAACTTTTGTAAGGTTTGTATGCCTAGGAATAGCTAAAAACAATTTAAAAACAGTTCCACTATTTATATAAAAAATCTAGGCTTGTGCCGGAAAAAATTTAGTTCCCCCGCCGCGAATCCTAAAGAACCCCCAAAATATTGATCCACCAAGGGTTCGATTGCCTTCCAGCTGCAAAGCAGGGAGCGCTGTTGAATTATAGCTTGGGGCCGCCCTCCCTCCCCCCACATGATCGTGTTACCGTACTCACATCGGTCAGCAGGCCAACTCCTTCGATACTGTAGACGCAGGAAAACGTAATCACCGGCCACGATCGTTCACGGAATGTCCACCCGCACCAAAAATCGCGCATCTCGTCTGCATCGCGCCACGGAGTTTCGGTCACCCAGTTCTGCCAAAGTGTTGCTTTATGACTGGCTGTTCGGATACAAATCGGAATAAACTCTTTGACTCTCACATTGCGATCCTACTATATATAAAAAAGTAGTGTCTGTCGGTGTGTGCCACTTTGCATCCACTTCCGTATCGTTGTTCCAGTCGTATCTGTATAGGGGAATAAGTTAGGGGTGGGTACGATATGTCATTAGGTGCGTAATGGTCTAGGGATGACTGCCCACATATCAGATTTATAAAAATCAGCCATTTTCGATATTAAATTTATGTTTTTGTAAGACCCTCTTCGCTAGGAAACATTAGCATTGACCGGAAGTGGGGAGTCGCCTATATAAAGGGTCACAAGCGAATCATTTTCATTTTTTTGTCATCTGAATTCAGCGTAATTATGCAAAGCGTGGAACAGCATGCGGTTCAAGACGGGGCCAGGGTTGAAAAGCCGCTTCTCGGCTTTTCAACCCTGGTTTGCGATTAATTAAGGTGTCAATCGAAAGCTCTCAACGAGCTGACAAAATGAAATTTTGGCAAAATGTTATTTCGACAAAATCAATTTACGACAAGATCTATGAGCCGCAATCCCGCCGTGTCCACAAGCCAGACCGAAATTTCGTGTGCCAGAATCTGAATAAATGAGGGAACCTATATAGAAAGGGCTGCCGACGGCATGTGTCGATCACCAGGCCTGGACGAAACGCGGGCCGGGCCGGGTTCCGGCCGTAAAATTTTGGGATTTTCTGGGCCGGACCGGGCCGGCCCGACCTTTTTGGCGATGTTCCAAAACCCGGTTTTTAAGGGGGAAATGAGTGCAATTTTGGATATTTTTCGTGCCCACATAGCCTAGTTATGCCTGTTATACCACTCTAGCACGATTTTTGGCTGATCTGGCTTCATTCAGTACCAAGGAATCAACCCAGGTTCGCCCCCGCCCGACGTCAGCTTTTGTTTTTTTTTTGTTTTTTTTTCGGCAGGGATCCGATCTCATGATTGATTTTTTTTAATAGCAATAGCGTAAGTGTTTGTAAACTGTTTTTACAATGCCCTAACATAAAACATAAAAATTGATGCTACAAAAGTTAGAAAACCCTCGCTTTTAGGCCAAAAACTCGTCGTAATGCTAAAATTTAAAATTATTTTGGCGACAAGGGCTGCAAAACCTGTTCACATCAACGTGTATTGCCATTATGCTTTGACGCTACCAAAACCAGGTAAACAGGAAATTTTTCGGATGATCCTGTTTTTGACATAAAAAGTCGGGCCGCGCCAGGCCAGGGCCGGAAAAAATGGCGTCGGCCGGGAAAAATCGGATCCATGACCCTTTGGGGAGGAAGGGTAGACAAGCGTATCCAACTTTGCCTACTACCCCATTTAAAGGGATAGGGGCGGCATAAGGCAATCGATTACGCGCTGGAAAGAAATGGTCTCTGCGCCTCTCCCCTGGGAGCCCTCTCTCGCCGCTGCATCTGTTGAACCCCCCCTCCCCAAGCACAACCCCCCATGGGTTCGGCCCCGATGGCTCCCGGGAAAAGGCGTACTGTACGGGTTTTTGCCTGGGGCGCGAAATAGCAGCATGATTTTAGCTGCGCAGGCTTGCTTTCGCAATTGCGCGACGCGTCTATAGCACGCGTTGCGGTCTTTCTTGGTTTCCAATTCTACCGGACGTTTTATTAGGCGCCGGGCCGCTGTGCAAGGGGGGTTCAACAGATGCCGTCCTCATCTCTTTAAGCCGTACTTCACGATTGTCCGCCTCTTGTCGCAAATCTCCCTCGCAATCACATATTTCCATCTCGACCGCCGTCGTCGATAGTTTTCGGGGAAGCAACCCGCGCCGGTTGATCGAATGTCTGAAACGGTTACGGTATTTTAATATACAGGGTGTTCCAAAAAAAAAACCCGCGGAATTTGGTCGCCCCCTATCCGATCGATCCTCGATTTTTAAAATGCACACCCACGGGCTGTTGCTGGCTGATAATGGCTATCGTAGAGGCTTGCTTCCTTTCTTGTAAATTTAGTTGTCGAGCGCCATCGGCAAGAGCGTCGAAAATGATACTAAGAGATTTAATTTCGGCCCGAAATACGACAATTTAAAATTATTACTTTATTTAGCTAAAAAGTTTAATCAATTAAACATCGTTAAAAATGAACTTTTTCGGACTGAAATTAAATCTCCTAGTATAATTTTTAGCGATCTATCCGATAGCGTTTTCCAAATAGCAGTATTTTGTTTATAAATAGAAAAATTGTTGCCACCCCCGTTATTTGTCCCCCCCGTTAAGCTACCTTTGCCTGTTTGGGCGGGCCGAAATGCCACACCTCCGCCACCCAAAACACTATAATTGCTAGAAGATCGACATTAAATTTACAATAAAGGAAGAACAGGAAGAACAGCTCGTGGGTGGGCATTTTAAAAATTGAGAATCTCTTCTGGCTGCCGAAAAACAGGCGATTCCGATGCGTTTTTTACTCGATTCCTTCTGGATTTTGTTTGCCGTGGTACCTGAACGATCTGCTGACCCGCTGCAAAGCGAGCAATTCGCGAAAGTTTTGCTGATCAAGTACAGCCGAAAGAAGGGTCACGGGGAGTCGACCGATCGGAAACATTTGCCAAGTCTGAAAGAGGAAAATAGATCGTGACACAATATTCAAAAGTCGGTATGGATCAAAAGGATGTGGGTCGCAACGAAGGTCGATCAGCAGGGAGTCTGAAATCGTTGTTTGGGAGGAATCTGTTAAACACCTATGGGGAATGATTTGAATATTGTCTGGATTTCGAGCATGATACCAGACCATCATCTGGCATCTCCCATCTGCACGATCAAGTCCGCTGACCCGAGATTACCATCCGTGGCATTAATGGCGAGAGCGTATTCCCAAGTATCACATATTTTTATCGACTAAAGTGGTCGATCCACATCGAGCAATAACGCAGCTGCGTAAATTGTGGTACTTGCCCCCTCACCCAAAAAGATCAAGAAACAGGTCAGCTGGCCGCTAATCGCCATTGCTTTCTGTACACACGTTTCTTCATTCTATCGTTTTACACGTTTCTGCCAAAAACAATCGTTGTCTGGTGTTTCGGTGCGTCACCTCGGTTGTCGACACCAGCCGGTGGCAGACTATTTTCACGCCCATTTGTCTTTGTCGATTGTGTACATCCACAACAAAGATACATTTATGCACATAGGTTTTTCGACAAACAATGGCCGTTTTTTATCAAAACTTCCATTTTTTGGAAAATTTTGAAAGTTTTCGATATTTTTCTATTGGAAAAAGCTTTACTTACTAAAAAAATTTTAACATTATCATTAAGTTAATAGGCATCATGCAAAATTTCATGCAAAAATTTCGAGGGTGCCAAAGAGATGCCTTGCCCTTCCCACTAAAGGAATACGAACCTGCGAGGGTCGACACCACTCTGCCGCTAGGTCTAGACAGAGCTACGCGACATTCCAAATAAGCCTCCATCTTGTAGGATTTTTGGATTGGCTTAATTACCTGACCGGCAAGTCCTTTGGAGTAACGCGCAGTTTTCGATACCTCAGCAGCACAAATACCAGTGAGTTGCTAAGCTAATAAGCTCCACGAAACCGAGCAAGGACCTACCAAGCAAGCGAAGAGAAAGAATGAAAAAGAACAGTGAAATCCAGCGTGGGTCTCTCTCTCGCACCCGCCCGCTCTCACTGCAAGGTGTTTTGACATAGGATGGAAATTCCATTTGGGACCAAGCGTATCTTGTGCAGAATTTTTCGCTGATTGCGAATCTGTTGTCCAAATCTGCTGAAGAGCCCGCTTTAAAAAGTTACAGCTACTTTTCTTATAAACTGGCGGAAAAATCGTCGGTTTTATATGCCTCCAAAATCTTGTCGAATGCTTTTTTGATAAACACAGGCCATCCACTGGCATAAAAAAAAGATTTTCTTTCGAATGAGCCATCTCACGAACCCGTAGACCAAAATTCATCAAAAAAAACATTTTTTTTGTCCGGGTAAGGGTGAGGATGGCAAGGCTGGAAAATGAGGTGACTTACAAAAATTCTGAGCTATAGGCCCGACGCCTTAATTTTTCCAGTTACGTAGCCTCTTAAAGGTACACTAAAATCTCATGCAAAAAGTCAGTTCGTGGTCGAAAATCCGGGCCCTCTGCTGCGCAACGCCCGGACCCTTCTTATCCCCTTCCCTCTCCCCTCTCCCGTCTGTCCCATGGCCTAGTGGTCTAAAGCGCTCGCCCTTGGCGAGTGGCGAGGGTTCGGTTTTGCTCCGCGGCGAGCACCTACCGTAACCCTCTTTGCCATTCCGCGGACGGTTACCGGCCGGTAACCAAACCAACGAGACTTTAGTGTACCTTTAAACAGTTTTAAAGTTGGCTGAAATGCTTGCTTTTTTTGTCGCCCGTTTTCAAATACAATTTCTCGGAACCTCTCGGCGATCTTTTCGCGATTGGTTGTCTTCTCTCCGAATTACATTTCACCGAATTTTCATCTCGCCGCAATTCAATCCCTTTTGAACTCGCAAGCTTTATCAATGTTTATGAGCGACAAAAATGTGTATTCGTATCGGCGGCGCGTAGACTGTCAGGTGTCAAAAATGTATAGCTGCAACTGGCCGTGGAAGCTGCGACGGTTGGATGCAACGAAGACGAAGGCGGCCAGGAATGCTGAAAACATAGTTTGTTTTGCCTAGCATCATTTTTGGTGGCCGTTTGTCGCTTGTTGCGTGGAGACTAACGACAGTTAAAGGCCAATCTTGACCTACTTTTCCGGTATGCGCAAATTCGGAAAAAGTGTCGTGTCGTGGGCAGTCGGAAACGCTGAAACTGAATTTGCAGCGAGTTAAGCGTTAATGGAGAGCAGGGCTGAAAAACCGCTGTGCATTCTTTCAACCATGGCCCCTGCCTGGAACCAGTAAAAGTTGACACTTTGCATGATCCTCCCGGATACCGCTGACAAAAAAAAAACGAAAAATCTTCCTTAAAGGGCTGCCGACGGCATCTGTCGATCCCCCCATCAACAAATTGGCAAGTAGCCAACAGAGCAGAGAGCACGCCCTGGGGAGAGGCGCAGAGACATTTTCGTTCCAGCGCGTAACCGATTGACTATGCCGTCCACATCCCTTTAAAAAAATCGAGATGTTAAGAATCAAATCCCAGGCTAGGTTATTTGCATATAATTTCACCATATTATTTGATTTGGATGCAATGGGCGTAGCCTTCCCAAAAAAATTCTCTTATCTAAATCCCCCGGCTTCCCGGCCAAACATAATTATTTGATTTGTTTGATCTTGTTTGATCGTTCCCGGTCTATGTATTTTCCATCCTATTTTTCCATATTTTCATCCCAACTCCGCATAAAATAAAACGATGCCCCCTCCACAATTCAAACAAGATCAAACAAATAAAATAATTTTATTATGTTTGACTCGCCCTCAAATACTCGGAGTCAACGGATCCTACTCTATATAAAAAATAGTGTTTGTGAGTGTGTGTGCCACTTTGCATTCACTTCCGTCTGTCTGTCCGGAGGATATCTCGATAGGGGAGGAATTTTAAGGTATGTATGATACGTCATTACGTGCGTAATGCCCTGGAGATGAATGCACGCATATTACATTCAACAAACCTATTTTTAACATTAAACCCGGGTTGAAAAGCCGCTTCGCGACTTTTCAACTCTGGCCCCGTCCGACCCCATTTTATCTGTCACTTTGCATAATTGTCCTGAATTCAGATCAAAAAAAAAAATGAAAAACTATATTTTCTACCCCTTTATATAGTCGAATCCCCAGTTCCGGTCTATGTTAATTGTTCTTAACAAAGAAGTTTTCACAAAAACTTAAATTTAATGTTGAAAATAGGTGATTTTGTTAAATCTGATATGCGTGCAGTCATCTCCAGACCATTACGCACCTAATGGCGTATAATACGTACTTTAAAATTTATTTTCTATCGAGATATCCTCCGGACAGACAGACGGAAGTGGATGCAAAGTGGCACACACACACACGCACAAACACTATTTTTTATATATAGTAGGATTTAACTTTTTGTGGAAACTTCTTTGTTAGGAATAATTAGCATAGACCGGAAGTGGGGATTCGACTATATAAATGGACCCTAGGTAGAGTGAGGGAGCGGCAGGCCTCCTCAGGCTTTCTTGGGCCGAATTGCATTTCCGCGCCTGCCGACCAGGGTTGGTCCATCTGGTATCCGGATCCTATCCGGATAATATCCGGATACGGGTATGTATCCATACCCGCCGCATTAGCATATGTTCTTTGGATACGGATAATATCCACAATGGATACGGATAGTATCCATATCCGTAGAATGAATTTTGCCGGATACGGGTATGGATACGGATACAGATACGGATACTACCCGGTATCCGTTGCGGATACTTTGGATACTTCCGGTTTTTTATGCAAATCGCGGTATTCAGTTGTGTTTTGTATGGAAGTCGTTACGACAAGATATTTTGTTAAAGTCTAAATCCAAGCACTATGCAGTTACGATGTTACATCCACCGATTGGACAGCACAATTGTGCACAAGAATATTTCCTTTATTTTTGAAGTTTTCTTTGGTGGTTCTGTCGTCTGGGTTGCCTTGGTGTCATGTACTTGGATCTTAAAGCGTTGGCACATTGGGGATTTGTTAGAATTGCGGATACGCCCCTTTTTATCCCGGTTTCGATGCGGCTGAGGAGTGTTGGTGAATCTAAGCTTTAATGTTGATAGTTTCCATACAAAACCAAGCTGAATATCGTGATTTGCATAAAAACCGGAAGTATCCAAAGTATCCGGAACGGATACCGGGTAGTATCCGTAGCTGTATCCGTATCCATACCCGTATCCTGGGAAGCCATGCTAATTTTGGATACGGGTACGGATACATATCCGGATACCAAAGTATCCGTATCTGCCCAAATTAGCATAGGTTCACGGATGCGGATATATATCCGCATGTCCGAAAATGGGTACCGATGCTGGATACGGATATTCAAATGACCAACCCTGCTGCCGACGCCTGGCGGAAGCCTAAGGATTTACGCAGGCTTTTTATGCAATGCGTGAAAACATGTTAATCTGGTTACTGCATCTAAAACGTTGGTATCTTTTGTCGCAATAACAAATTACAAGGAGGCCGAAGGTGGGAAACATATAGGCAGGATATCAGGAAAGACAATTGCATCCCCCGCCCGTTTGATCCGCCTCTTGGCTTTTGTGTATCCGCGTGCTAGTAACGTATCGTGCCGTAAGATTTTTCAAAAACAGTACCCTGACTTTGTAGAATATTCTTGGACCCAATACAGCTCTTCGACCCCCAGAAGTTTCAAAAAAATCCTTATTTGTTCGGCAAAAATTCGAATATTATACGGCTTTACATAAAATTTCTAGATAAAGCCTGACTAATTAGAGGTCAGGCGTACTTTGCATAGCCCAGGCTCAGCCTAGGTGATGCAAATTAGAAAAGCCTGAGGAAGCCTAGGCAAGCCTAGGCTTTAGCCTAGGCCTCCCCCACTCTAACCCTAGGGGTTGTTTTTCATTTTTTTTTGTCTATGCTAATTATTCCTAACAAAGAAGTTTTCACAAAAGGCAATCCCGGCCGGCCTAGCCGCACGGCCGAGGTAGGCACTCATATTTTCGAAACGCATATTTTCGAAAACTCATATTTTCGAAAACTCACATTTTCGAAACTCATAGTTTCGAAAACTCATATTTTCGAAACTCATATTTTCGAAAACTCACATTTTCGAAACTCATAGTTTCGAAAACTCATGTTTTCGAAACTCATATTTCCGAAAACGGTTCTTGCGTGGGGGGACTGAACTTTTTTCGGCCTAAGCCTAGATTTTTTATATAAATGGTGGAATTGTTTCTAAACTGTTTATAGCTATTCCTAAGCATAAAACTCTACAACATTTAATAAAAATAAAATTAATTTTAGGTCGAAAAATTAATTTTTTCGACCAAAAACGACCAAATTTTCGACTTTTTCAAGCGTTTTTCTAAACTTTAAAAAAAAGTTTTTCCCATTCAAATAAGTTCTTTTTTGTTTTTTCCTATCCCCCGGATACGCAAGAACCCCAAAAACTCATAGTGAAACTCATATTTTTGAAATTCAGATTTTCTTAGGTTTTCTTAAGTTACCCAAGCCTATGCAAAGCTGTAACTATCAGTTTTTGCGAAAATATGCCTTTCGAAAATATGAGTTTTCGAAAATATGACTTTCGAAAATATGAGTTTTCGAAACTATGAGTTTCGAAAATATGAGTTTTCGAAAATATGAGTTTCGAAAATCTGAGTTTCGAAAATATGAGTTTCGTAAATATGCACGCAAATCCACGGCCGAGCCGCCGGCCCAATTTCCATAAAAACCCGGCCCCATACGAGCCGCGTTGAAACCCGGCTTCCCGGCCCAGCCGGCTTTTGGTTGCGGCCCGGCCAAGCCGGTCCGGCCGAGCCGGGAAATCGGAAGTTGCTCATTTACATGAGAATCCGTGAATCCTATGCAATATTCTGAATGGAAATGACCAAATTTCTATAGCGGAGTAGTTTTTCTCTTGCCATAAAACTAATTATTGATTGAATCCGCAATTTGCGTACCGGAAACGCGAAAATCTCATTTGGCTCCGGCTTTCCGGCTTTTCAAAAGCCGGCGGCTTGGCCGGGGCTCCGGCCTCAAAGCATAAAAAAGTCGGGGCCGGACCGGAAGCTCCGGCCAAGCCGCGCGGCTCGGCCGCATTCTAATTTTTCCGGCCGAAAAAAGCCGGCGGCCCGGCCGTTTGCCATGTCTGCAAAAAGTTAAATTTAATTTTGAAAATAGGTTTGCTGAATCTAACATGCGTGCATTCATCTCCAGGCCATTACGCACGTCATGACATAATAGGCAAACCTCCGAAGCATTATCCACCCATTGCTTGATTCCTTCCGCCTCGATCCCATCCAATTTTTCCATGGTGCCATTGTGGATGTGTTCGAGCCGTTTCGCGAATTGCTTCTAGAAAACGCTAAAGCATCAGGACACCTAATTTAAATTTTGGAGAAAAAAATTTTCGAAAATTTAATTTTTTTAAATAATTTTGAAAATTTTAAATTTTTTAAATAATTTAAAAAAAAAAAATAAAAAAATAAAAAATAAATAAAAATTTTAAAAAAAAAAAAAAATTATAATTTTTAAAAAAATTTTAAAAAAAAATAAAAATTTGTTGCTCAGATTATTCGGAATTTTTGCAAAACTTCCAAAATATTCTACGGAACGATTGCGGTGCTAGGAAAGGTTTGCTTTAGGATTCGCGGGCGGATCGACTTCTCACCAAGCATATCTCGGGCTGAATGATTTGGCTGGGGTAAGCCATAAACTCCTCTTCATCGTGCTGATCCGCTTCGATGAGATGCACCAGTCCTCGCTGGGCAGCCCTTTCCGGACAGATCACGAGCTAAATCGGAACCGGTAATTTGATCGAAACAGAAAGCGAAAATTGGTAGGAGTCTATTTTAATTGCTACATTTTCCCTAAAAGAATTATTCCTAAAGTGGTGTTGTGCTGTTAGCGGGGAGGATTTTAGCGGGAGGAAAGCTGTCTTGCCTATTCCACCCTATTAAACAATTTTAACGTTTTTGTAGTGAATTTTTATAGTGTTTTAATTGTTTTTGATAACCAAAAAGTCAAGCAAACATGTTAAAAATTAAAAAATGTTGAAGTCTGTGACATTCTTGGTTAATTTTTCAAAATTTTTGACGAAAAATGAAAAACTTTCGGAATTTTTGACATTTTTATGAACTTTCTATGCTTAAAAACGCACGGACATGTGCAGGAAGAAAATCAGGACCGTCGATTATTTGGGCGCCCATCCCCCGGAATAGCGGGCACCCGCCTTACATCAATCAGCATGACAACTCCCTGCAGATCGTAGACGCAGAGGAATGTGATCGCCGGCGACACTCGTCCGCTGAATGTCCATCCGCACCAGAAATCACGCAGCTCTTCGACGGCGCGCGAAGGAGCTTCAACCACACCGCACTGCCAAAATGTTCCATTTTTCGCAAAGGAAAAAAGGCTGTGTTCATTTAATAATTGCCTATTATAGTCTCGAAAATTTGGTGCTTCCAGGCTCACGGATCTGGTGGTTTAGCGGGGGGTTGCCAATTGTTCTTTTTTAGCCTATACCTCTGTAGTGATCAATTGTAATTGATTTTAATAGCGTTTTTAGTAGTGTCCAATGACCAAAAATGATAAAAGCATTTATTGTACAGTCCAAAATCGTGAGTGTTAGCTCGCTTTCAACCATTTTCATACCCGTTAGACCAAAAAAGCAAAAATTTTCAACATGTTTCATCATTTTCTTTTGAATTTCTCGTACCCCACTAACAGTCCGGAACCACTTGAAACGGCGTACAATTCTGTAAAAACCGTAAACTTTTAATCAATCGACCCGCAGGAGACTATAGAAAAAGTTCGTAACCCCCCCTCCCGATTACCTGGAAGCACCGAAAAATTTTTTAGTATTTGTATACAGGGTGGCTAGAAAGCATGGGTGCTAATGCAATTAGGGGGGGAGTCCGAAATTGGTAGTAAGGGGTTACAAGGCGCTCCGCTTAAGCTACTTGGTTTTTAGCTTAAGTCTAGCTTAGTTTAGCTTTAGCTATGTCTAGCTCCGGCTTAGGCTTAAGCCTAAGCCCAACCCAAGCTTACCTTGTGATTAAAATTGCCTTGCGAGGTCAAAATGGGGCCATTTGGGGGTTAGTTTAGACCGAGCCTTTTAAAGGGTATCGGAAGATTACACCGACAGTGATTACACCGAAAATCACGCCGACACTCATGAGACCGACAATTCATGACACCGACATTCAATACGCCGACAAATGCTACTGAGGTTTCATGTCCAAATATCAGGGCAAAACAGCGAATTAACATAAGCATCTTGTATGCGTATTGCATGTCGGTGTCATCAATCGTCGGTGTAATGAGTTTCGGTGTAATGACTGTCGGTGTGATGAACGCAATTCCTTGCAAGCACCGAACGGGGGGCGTGTCACGCGGGCCCGGCGACTTACCCCGCCCACGGTCAGCTGCTCGATACTGCCCCGGTAATTGAGTCGGATTTTGCGAAAGACATTCCAAGAGCGTCGATCGAAGTCGGCCCCAAAGAAGGATATACGAAAATTGTTGACGGCGGCCAGCCATCGGAAAAACGGGCTGACCTGTAATTTTTATAGTTGACCAGGGTTGGTCGTTTCAAACTCGGTACGCAATTCAGTGAGATGAAAATAGACATTTTCGATGGTACGCTACGAGCCTATTCATTTTCCATTATTGAGAATTTCTCGAACTGGCGAAGTAGAATTTTCGCGCTCGTTTCACTTTCTTGCGCTTGTTTGCCGGCGCATCGGCAAACAAGCGCAAAAAAACCAAAAACAAAAACTAACTGCCAAACTAACTAAGTAAACAAAAACTGTATAACTCTCTCGGTACCCCTGTAATTCTCAGGATGTCAAAATACCTCTATGGGTGCCGGCGCGCATGAACCCCTACGGTTTACTCCGTTTTGGGATGCAGTGTAATGTTGCTCGATTTCCAAGAACTGTCCAAACGTGACCCTTGACCGTGGCAGAGCTTTGATCAATCGGTTGAACGGAACTGTCCAAACGCTGCAAAAGCATATGTTAATTGGGTATCTTGAAAATAACGGAAACGTTTGGAACTTTGGAAATCTTGTTAACGCGGAATCATTTGGGTACATCCGGGCAGACTATTAAAAAATGATGAACACCCACGTGGCTGTCTGTAAGCGACCAATTTTCATCTGTATAGTGTTGTCCGCACTTTGCACTTTGATCAAACATCCGTCCAAAGCCTCAAGGTCAACTGACATTTCGTACACTAGAATCTGAAAAGTATCAATATTATGGTGCTTATAATACGGGGCCACTCAAAATGTCATTTTTCGTCTTAAAACACTTAGTAATTTTTCGGAGAGTTCACAATTCGGTGAAATGAAAATTCGCTCAGATGAAATTTCGACGGGAAGTAAATTTGATGGGTGAAGCTTAGGTGAAATGACAACAAATCGTATAATCCGCGCTTTCTGCATCAAATTTGCACCATAAACGAGTCAAATTGTATAGGGCCTCCTCAAGCGTTGGTGCAGAAAAATAAGCAAAGCACCTTAGACCTAGCAATGCTTACCTCACGGTTCCCCACGTCGCTCTTTGATTCCTCGCGATCGCATATGTACGTTTCCACATTCGCATTCAACAATTTTCTGGGAAACAACCCACGCTCGCTGATCGAATTTCTGAAACGGTAAATTAGTTGTGGGTTGAAAGTTAGCGTTTTTCAATGTGTTTCGGCTACCGCCCTCCTTAAAGGGATGCCGACGGCATCGTCAATCGGTTACGCGCGGAAAAGAAAATGTCTCTGCACCTCTCCCCTGGGCGCGCTCTCTCCCCTGTTGGCTACTTGCCAATTTGTTGATGAGGGGGGATTGACACATGCCGTCGGCAGCCCTTTAAAGGGAATCTAAAGCGCCAAATGCAATGCCTTTGGGGGAGGGCTTTATCTCTTACTGACCAATGCCAGTATGCCGGTGCAGGGCCAAGACCCCTAAAATTTGGCTTTTTGAGCATATTTACGCATATTTGTGAAGCCCGTATAATTCGTAGCTATTCTGAGCTCATTTCGGAAATCCTGACCCGATTTCAGCCGGCTTGGTATGTTAAGCATCAATTTTCGCCCAGACACAGCCGACCGAAAACATGGTTTTGCGGGTGATTTCAAACTTTGCCCGCTTCCCGGCCTTTGCGCGCACAAGTGTCGACATACAGGGTCAGGATTTTCGGGTCGTAACTCATTTTTGGGCACTTATGGTCTTTTTGCACTAGTTACCTGAACCATTTGCTGACCCGCAGCAAAATCAGCAATTCGCGAAAGGCCTGCTGATCGAGCACACATGAAATCAGCGCCGGTGGGAGGCCACCCATTGGAAACATTCACCCAGTCTTAAAGATATAATCGAGAGGATCTTACGGCCAAACTTGATAAGAAGCCAAAAAAATTCTGAGGCACAGCGGGGATTCACCAGGACGTTGTAAATCAAATTTTGGTTAAGTAGATCAAGCTAGATGACCGCGACAAAGTGGGATTGCAAAACATGACCTGGATTTGAAAGCACTACTATCTGCAAGACCGAGTCCGCTGCCATGAGATAACCCCATGTGGCATCAAGGATGCCTACTACTTTCCCAATCCAGCCGTGACCTACATTGTCGCTGCTAGAATGCCTTCTGCTCTACAAAACTTCCAAATGATCCTATTGCCTCCTAAATTGTCGCTGCTAGCATGCCTTATGCTCTACAAAACTTCCAAATGATCCTATTGCCTCCTAAATTGTCGCTGCTAGCATGCCTTATGCTCTACAAAACTTTCAAATGATCCTATTGCCTCCTAAATTGTCGCTGCTAGCATGCCTTATGCTCTACAAAACTTTCAAATGATCCTATTGCCTCCTAAATTGTCGCTGCTAGCATGCCTTCTACTCTCCAAAACCACCAAACGATTGATCGCGTCCTAAATTGTTGCTGCAAGCATCCCTGTTATCTGTGCATCAGCGTCCAAATTACAATAGAAGCCAATAATTTATAAATTGATCGAAAATGTCAGGTATAAAACGAGCACAACATATGTGGAAAATAACAAAAATCCGAAAACATTTCTTGATAATTTTCGACCTTGTACTTCGATTTGTGCACGAGATTGCTAGGCCGATCGATGCCCGTCGTTTTCACGCTGAAAAACAATATTAGAGACCACCGGTCGGAGATGGGAAATCAGTTAAAATCACAAGAAAATGCAAAATACCTGTGTAATCCACCGACTGATTTCTTCGAGTTTCTTGATGCGGCTTTCATGTGTATAGTAGAAATTTTCGGCAACAGTACGACGTTGAAGGAGGCGGAGCAGGGTCTGTTTTGACATCTTGAATCCACCATTCGTCAGCCAAATAGCCCATTGGTCCCGTTCACCGCCGACTAAAGCAAGACATGCATTTAAAATGTATTGAACGGCAAAAACAAAGAAAAAAACGGAGTGAAGTCCTTACCATGCGCCTTGAACCAGTCTGATACACTGCCAATCAATTCAACGAGTCGGGCAGGTAGGGGCTCTTGTACTGGAAGCGGTTGCTGCTGTGACGGACCTGCCTCGTTGACCTTGGGGATCTCGCGATGAATGGCCTGAAAAGAAGCAATAAGTACAGCCACGATCAGTCAGAGAAGACCCGAATAATCCCAGCTGCTTGTCGGCTACCGCTTTAGAAGGTGAAGGAAAAATATTCACCTGAACGTGCTCCACATTGTCCATCTCGCGATGACCGGAGAGAATTTGCTCGTTAACCTAGAAAAAACGACTAAAATGAAAGCAAAAGAATGTCCGCACCTCATTACTAGCAGCCTTGACCTCATCCGAATCGGGAACACACATTTGTCCGTTTCCGATCAAAGCAAGGTCGATATCCGGCTCGACATCACACGTTTCATCAGCCGGGGCAAGCGCCGCAAAGTCGAGCATGGGAGCTGAAAAACAATAATTTCCATAATCAAAGTCAAGCACAGCCCAAAAATGTTTGAAAAACTGACGGGTGTAGACATAATCCTCCCTGTCGATCGAGTCGAGGCTGTTATCGGCATAGAGCTCCTCTCTTGTTGGAGTCTTCAGAATTTCATCGCGCTCGTCGGGCCGGACCATCTTTCTCTGCAAAATATTAGGATAGTAAACAACAAGAACTACGGACACAATTCAGAGGGAAACTTTCAAAATTAATCCTCAAATTTTAAATCCGTGGCCTAAAATCCCAATGACTATCAGTTCCGCCACTCCGTCATTAGTAGCGTGCCGGGCCGGAGTTCTGGAGTTCTTTTTTCAAAAATTCTTGGCAAAACGGAAAACATGATTATTCTAATTAATCTTTGTAGAAAAAAAAAACTAAATTTTGTGTAGAGCACAAAGAAGAGACCCGCAGCCCCTTTTTGCGCATCTACTTTCTTGAACCTCGCTTTGAAAAAACAATATAAAAATCTAGAAATTCCTTTTTCCCCAAAAATCTATCCATATTCAGCACTTTCCATTTAATTCCTCATGTTTCTATTCAGAATATCTGTCTTCCACGTTCAAATCATAATTTCAGGTTTTGGGGCGTCAAGTTCTACGAGTGCGGCGGGAGCGATTTGCCAGCGGATATGAGAAAAACGGCGACAGATGGGACCAAATTCATGTACGAGAGAAGAAAGAGGCTGATAAGTTAAATTTTAAATTCAAGCATATAACGTTGTAGAGAAAACGATACCATTGCCGGGTCGGCGCTTCTTCGTCGCTCGCGAACGCGTCGATCCGTCACTGATCCGCGTCCACTTCGCGTTGTCGGTGCCGCCGCCGCGCACCTGAAAAATTCATCTTTCCAAAAGTAAGCAATAAGGTGTGATTTGCTATCTTGTTGTCGAAATTTCATAACGTCGAAGTTCAAAATTTTATAATTTCATGCTTTTAGACTGTCGCGAAATCTGTTGTATAGGGATTTGGGTTTGCGGAAAAACTAGCTTAAGTCGTCCTTCTGCATTTCGACATTCTGAATTTCGGCATTCTGAATTTCGGCATTCAGAATTTAGACATCCTGAATTTAGACATTTTCAATTTCGACTTTACGAAATTCAAAATTATGAAATTTCGACATTCTGTTATTTCGACACCTTAAATTCGACATTGTGCAAGGAACGCATAAGATTTAGAAGTGCGCAAGAAGCTACAAGCTTCTTTTCAAAGCCACCCCCTACCATGAAAACCGAAATCTACACCCAAAACTCTCTCCGGGCAAGTACGAAGCGCAATCCGAACGCATTCCTCAATTGCCAATGCTAGCCTGCTACTACAGTAAGTGATCACTATCTAAAGAAGCCAATTCCGCAATTTTCCCGGCTAGTCTGCCCATTACAGGAACCGATCGCGAGGCAGCCTGATCGATTCCTCAATTGTCACTGCTAGCCTACCGCCTTTACGAAGAATTGCAATCGATTCCAAAATGGTGACTGCTAGTCTACCCGCAGAGTAAGTCGTCAGAGAGGATTCGCCCCGATTCCGCAATTGTCGCTGCTAGCGCACCCCCTAGAATTCGTCGTTCTGAAGAAATCGCGCCGACTCCTCAATTGTCACTGCTAGCCCGCCACTACAGTAAGTAATTATTAGTCGATAAAGCCGATTCCCGAATTTTCCATGCTAGCCTACCCACTAACGCAACCCTTTACACAAAATTCACGCAGATTCCGCAATTGTCAGCGCTCGTTTACGCCCTACCGTAAGAAATCCGTATCGATAGCATTTGAAAGATAGAAACCAACCGTAATCGCAATTTCAGCGTGATCGTCGCGCCGTTGTCCGCCAGCCCTCGCGTACCCTCGGCGTCGACGGCCTAAAAAAAAGTAAGCTGAAGCGTGAAATGAAAATACCTCCGATGGTGGCCGGAACGCTCGCGCCGCGTTTTGCCTCGATGACGAATCGGTGTAGCCGCGGCGACGTGCCTGGAACAGTTTATATAACACAAGTTTTTCACGGAATAATTTTTAAAGGGACTAGGAAGTGCCCGAATCTACCCCTTTATCAACTAGGTCTTCCCAGCTACGCGACAAGCCAAACTACGTACGCAGTGTACTTTGGTAGGGTCACATATTATAGTGCCACAAAATCGGATAGACAGCTGTCATTTGGAGTGTTGCGTAGCTGTCAAGACCTAGTCGAGAAAGGGGGTCGATTCTGGCATTTCCTGGTCCCTTTCAGTCAGAGTTTCATATTTTTTCTAGCTGCTACTAGTAACCAATTATTTACAGTATGGCCTCTGCCAGCCTGCCCCTACAGTACGCCGTCACGAAGAAATGGAATGGATTCCGAAATGGCGGCCGCCAGTCTGCCCCTACCGTAACCCGTAAGAAAGGATTAGCACCTATTCCTCAATTTTTACTGTCCGGCTACCGGCTACCGTAACTCCGCAACCGGAAATCGAGCTAATTGTCAAATGGTGACTGCTAGCCTGCCGCTACAGTAACAAATCCGTACCTAGAGCCATTTAACCAAAGTTACCAACCGAAATGGCCGTCTTGGTGTCGCCGGCCGACCGTCGTAGAGCAGGTCGAATCGTAGCTGCCTCTCCACCTCATGCTGCTTCCCGGACCGGAAAACAACAAAAAGAGGTTAGATGAAGCGCAAAATTAAAATACCTCTTCCGGTGGCCGGTACCCGCGCGCCGCGTATTTCCTGCCTGAATCACCGGTGTGGTCGCGGCGAGGCGCCTGGAACAGTTCATATAACATAAGCTTTCCGCTGACTTATTTTTAAAGGGACTAGGCAGTGCCAGAATCTACCCCTTTAGAAACTAGGTCTTGACAGCTACGCGACACCCCAATTACGTACGCAGTGCACTCTAGTAGGATCACATATTATAGTGTCACAAAAATAGACAGTTGTCATTTGGAGTGTTGCGTAGTTGTCAAGACCTAGTCGATAAAGAAGGTGGATTTTGGCATTTCCTGGTCACTTTCAGTTAGGGTTTCATAGATTTTCAAATTGCTATTACTAGTAGCTCTTCAGCAGAAATGAAATCGATTCCTAAATGGCCACTGCTAGCCTGTCACTTACAGTAACCCTAAAGAAACGATCCAAATGGCCCCATCCTGCCACCTAAGTAACAGGTTTCCTAAACCTCTGCTGCCACCTACAGTAACCCTTAAGAAGAATAGAACTCGATTCCTAAATGGCCGCGGCTAACCTGCCACCTACAGTAACCCTAAGAAGAATAGAACTCGATTCCTAAATGGCCTCTGCTAGCCTGCCACCTACAGTAACCCTAAGAAGAAATGAAATCGAAACCACGAAACCACAAGAAACCATTCCTCAATAGTTACTGCTAGCCTACCCCTACTGCAGCCAAGTAATAACCAGAGATTGAAAAGAATAAACGGACCGTATCCGCTTGGTCCCCGTCTGCCGTTATCGAATTGGTGGGTCAGCTGTCGTCCATTCGTCTCCCAATTGTCGTCCCAACTAAAAAAACAATCTAATAAAATCCACGCTTAAATTTACATAACTCCTGTTAAAGCCTATTCAGACCGAGGAAATTGAAAGAAATTAACGAACCGAACTGCTTGAAGTTGACGATCGTCTCGCCGACTCCATCGGGTCTTTGCCGCCAAGCCGGCCGTCGCGCGTCGAGCTGGCCGGCGCGTAGCCTCGCGCCCTGCCTCGTTCATCACGCCGCAAGGTAGTCATCTGCAAAAAGCCCTTTCATACACATTTCCTCGGTTGCCAAAATTATCTCTGCTGGCTCAGATTCCCAAGGCATCACTGCTAGCCTACCCTTGCTCAAAAAAGCCCCAAGCGCGGCTCAACAATTGCCGAATTCCAACGGCACGTATGTGATTTCAGTAGGAAACTATCGAAAATTGCCTCAATTCCTCAATGACCACTGCTAGCCTGCCCTCAACGATATGCGTTAAAACAAATCCGACACGATTCCACATTTTTGCTTGTTTACCCATACGCATACGCCTACCACTACGCTTACGGTAAGAAGCGGCAAAGAAATCGTGCGTGTTCCCAGATAGTCACTGCTAGCCTAAGACCACTTCAACCCGAACTTTCGGAAATTCGTAACCAGAGCAATTGAAAGAAATAAACGGACCAAACTGCTTGGCGTCGTCGATCTTTCCGCCGATACCCGCGGCTTGTCAATCTTCATACGCCGAAAGGCAGGCGTTGCGCATGATGTCCTTCTCGGCCGCCGCCTTCGAACCGTACGCTGCGACTTACAGTCGGCCCTAAGGAAAAATGAAATCTATTCCCAGTAAGCTTACCCTTTACTGAAACCGCAACTCAGGCACGTCAAAGAAGTGTAGAAAGTTCTTGCGACTTGGTGCCATACCCGCGAGGGTTCTTCGAGCCGTCCCATCCACGCCGAACCCTCCCGAGATGCTCGCCCGTCGTCGTGTCCTCCACGGACGTCTCGCCGACGTTCGCCGGCTGCGAATCTTTGGCCGTCGCCACGAACGGGTTTTGAGCGGCCTCGTCTCTGCGAGCGCCGTCTATCCGATCGTGGTGATGTCGCCTGAAAAAGACTTTTAACACGCGCTTCCTTCGTTTCAAAATTGATTTCTGGTCGCCAACGTTTCCCAAAGGATCACTGCTAGCCTACCCTTGCTCAAGAAAGCCCCGAAGCAGCGCTAACGAATTTTTACTGCGAGCATGTCATTACACTTGGAAACTATGAAAAATTGCGTCGATTCCTCAATGGCCACTGCCAGCCTGCCACTTACAGTAACCCTATAGAAGAATAGAACTCGATTCCTAAATGACCTCTGCTAGCCTACCATCTACAGTAATCGTTAAAGCAAATTCGACGCGATTCCACATTTTTGCTAGTTTACACATACGCATACACCAACCACTACGTTTACAGTAAGAAACGACAAAAATGATGCAGGTTCCCAAAACGTCGTTAAACTACCTACAGTAAGAAATCCGTGACGAGAGCAATAGAAAGAAAGAAACGAACCGAACTCGTCGGCCGCCACGAACAGCTTGGTGACGCGCGCCGGCTGACCATCTTGGGATGTCGAGAGATGGCTGAGAAGTCGTTGTACGGCGCGTTGAGAAGTCGCCACCGCCTCCTTCCACCAAAACTTCGCTGCGGCCTGCAAATAAAGTTT